GTGTAACGGCGAGAGCGCGGGCGGGCGTGAGAGAGAGAGAGAGAGAGAGAGAGAGAGAGAGAGAGAGAGAGAGAGAGAGAGAGAGAGAGAGAGAGAGAGAGAGAAAGAGTGAAAGAGACAAATTCAGTTGGGAAAACACGCAGGGGGACACGCAGAGCAAAAGTGTTGAGAACATCACGGACGGCCAGTCAGTCCTCTTCACCACTGTCGCCAGAACATCTACCGGTACCAGCATGTACTCACTGCAGCGATGCCGAGCTTGTCCCCCAGCTTGCATATTGCTAGGATGTCCCGCGGGTCTTCGTCGTCGTCAAAATCAATGTCGTCGGGAAGCTGGGCACCCGAACCACTTGCTCCTCCTGCCGGTTGTGTAGTTGTACCTCTTGCTCCATTTGCATCCTCACCGCTCCTGTCGCCCTGCGCTACTCGCCGCTTTCGTGCTATGTAGTGAATTTCAATTCCGAGGAGAGGGCATAGATCGGCACGTTAGGGGGAGAGAGCAAAAGGCGACCGGAAATCCGTTCGTATCTCTCGTGCGCCAAACGAGAGAGCAGCCTTTCTGCATAAAGTTCCCACAATCGTTGCTGAGCTTATTCTGCGGCTTCTGAAGGGTAACCCATCATCATGGTGCGTCTATACTTCCATACAACCCGGACGCCGACACCACTTTCGACAGAATTACACCGCGAACAAACTATTGCGCCTAGACTATATCATGGTCCACCGCCGACTTCCTGCCGTTTCGTCTTACCTGTAGCAGGATAACTGGGCCCATCAGCATCCAGGTCCGACCACAGGAGCCTTGGCTCCGTCACGGCCCGCCGGTTGACGTTCGTGGGCGTTCCCCTGCGCGCGGTTTCGGTGTCCCTGCTCTGCTGTTGCGAACGCGACCCCAATGACCGAAGTGCTGCCACCTCTTCTAGAACCGAATTAACGGTAGACGGTTGTGGCTGTTGCTGCTGCGGCGGCTGCCCTTGCCTGGAATTGGTCATATCGAGTGCATGCCCGCCGCCGTCGCCACCAGGGTACGCAAGGGGAGACATGCTCAGACTCATTGGGCTTCTGGCATCGAATGCAGCCTGCTCCTGCAGCTGCAGCTGCTGCTGCTGCTGCTGCTGCTGTGACTGTTGCAGATGGCTGTAATGATGCTGTCCTTGAAAGTCCGGCCCTTCTGACGTGTAGATGTCGCAGCCGCCGCGGAGGGTGCCAGCAGGGAGGGACATGCTCAGGCCAAGGCTCGTCGGAGTTTCTTCGCCGTCGTTCGCCGGCAGACGACTCGCGGTGTATCCTTGCTGGTTGCAGTGCTGCTGGTGGTGAGGCGTGTGATAGAGGTGCTGTTGCTGTCCTGCCCCTGCCTGGAGCATCACGTCTCGGGTCGGAGACGATGCTTCGGAGGACTGCGTAAATGTAGGGTGATACGAACTGCCACCGATTGCGTGGTTGGGGGAGGAGCGCAGGACAGTGCCATCCTCCCCTGCTTGGTTGGAACGGTAACGAAGAGACCCGGTGTCGTCGACCATGGGGCTGTGGAGTTCGTCGTCCATGATGCTCCCTTGGCCTTCAATAACAAAATGCAAGGTAGAACACCCGTTACACGTCGGTGGCAAATAGACAGTAGTATTCACTCACCCAGCAATACCATAAATCAATGCCGAACCCCATGGAGGAAATCCAGAAGGAGAACCCAAGCGACAGTCACCCACTAAAACTGGCATGAGTCGCATCTGCGATGGATGCGGGCGACGTGTGTCCGGCAGGGGACCGTTCTCCAATGTGTATGCCCACCACCACCAAGCGCCCTCCGCCAGCTCCGGTGTGAACGGTGCGCGCATAGGGGAAAGGCACCATCGGATACAGAATAGAGCCCTTTACCGTTTGTTCTTGGATTCGCGTACATGCTACAGTCTATATAGTCTACATACCAGCTCCTTACATGCCACCAAATCAGAGCGCTTGTACAAGTAAGTCGATCGTAATATAATCCAGCGATGGATATCCACTCCGAAGCGAGGCAGAACAACTGTTAACAACAAGTTCATTTCGGCTGGTGGTGTCTACAGTACTGTAGTCTATGTAGTAGAAGACGTGAGAGAAGAGCTTTCTTCCGAGTGAAAGAACTTTAGAGAAGGAGTAACACGAGAGGTTGACTCTCAAACAAACCGTAGACAATTGGCACATTGCGTGTGTGCATGTGTGAGAAAAAGTGGGCAGGACGGCTGTATTTCATGCACGCCACATTATTGTCTTGCCAGCCGCACAGCCACCGCTTTCGATGATCTGGTTTGTAGTATCCTCAAAATGCCCAGAGGGTCATACATCGTGGGTGGAGTTGGTTGCTGACAGCTGTTCATGCTAGGGAGTGATTCTGAAAGACTGTTGTTGTGAACCGGCGAAAAAACAGGTGGAATTATCAGGCTTGGATATATGCTAACCAATCTGGCATACCTAGCCTCCACTTCCTGCTTAGAGGTGGGGCCTCGCGTTAAGTGGCACCAGTGATCATTAGCCGTGGTGCAATCAGGCCATGCCAACTCTCGGCGAAACGCCCACAAACCACGCCTCGCGCGATGGAAACCGGCATGGCCCAACACAATATCGCACCGCAGCTCAAGCCGTAGCCAAGCGACCCTTGGAGAGATTGACTGTACTGCACCCTGCAGGGCCGTGTGTATTCCTGCCCCAGAAGGTTTGGGGACAGCCCGCCGATGTGGTGACCTCGACTGACTGTGGAGGGAAGACGACTTTGGGGCTACCGTTTGGTGCAACTCTGGCCTCTATTTGTGCCTCCTGCTGTCTGAGGTGGAATACGATCACCTGCACCTGGTGTACAGACATCGTTCCTTTTCGCAGTGAAAAATATGCCGCGTCGCCATGCTAGGTAATACCCATGGCTAGACAAGCTAGACAAAGGTGAACCGACTGGTTTCACTTGCGTACAGAAGTAGCGGTTTCTCTTTGTGAATCGGCAACGTCTCGCGTTTGGCCGGTACAGCAACGCTGGTTGAAAAGAAAGACGCCGCTCCAACCCATCATACAAAGCATGTACCCCAACCACCAAGGCGCTTACCTGCGCTTGTATGCCGATGGGACACTGTCTCCCTCCCTCTCGCTCCCTCTCGCTCTCTCTCGCTCTACTCTGATCTGGTCACAGTCGCGAGGGTTTCCATATTCTCGAAGAGCGGTATTCTGATGAGGGGATTGAAGCGGGGGCACCGTCCATGTATGTACTCGTCACGGTGTGGAGGGTGCGTCATGTCCTAGCCAGCGTGTTGAGAGGTGCTCTCGTGTTGGACGCCATCGGCTTTGATGGGCGCGTGCAATGTGGCAGTGCTCCACGTTCTGTTGACGGAGTTGATGCTATCGCTGACCTTCCCAGGGGGACGATGCGGGACCCCTTGCTTTTCACAGATAAGATTGCGAGAACCTCAAATGAATAAACTTGAGATACGCATGTGGGTATGAAATGTACTTACAGCGGACGGAGGGGCACGCTTAAGTGACCTGCTGGCGAGCAGTTTTCATGGCTCGAGCAGATGATGTACGTACAGTGCACCATCTTTCGAAAATGGTTCCGAGAAAGACACCAACCCACCTCCACTGGACGACGGCGTTCTGGGAAGTATGTGGTGTTTGCCAAGAATTTCCTCGTGCCAGCTACAGCACGCGGGTAGTCGTGACGCGTTGGTTATCGTGTGAAACCATTCGAACACGCCGCAACTAGTTGTGCTGGCCATGGCAAAATTACTGGTACTGCATGCTGCTCCATCTCATCCTGCGTACCATTTGTTTTTCAAGATAGTCTAGGTGGTATCCTCGCAACCTTGTGATGGCTAGATCACAGGCTCGACTCCCGGCGAAAGCGAGCTTTTTCTTGAAAAATTGAGTTTTTCTCTAGCTTACTTTTGGTTGTGGAAAGGGCTGCTCTGCTTGAAGTCTGTGTGGCTCTTTGAGGGATGAGAGTGTTGCAGTTGCCGAGGCAAGCACCGCAGGAGGGGTGGGAAGGGCGCACCTCAAAGAGCGTAATCCCCCTGTGTGACCACGGCGGAAATGCATATGAGCGCTGACAAAAAGTGTGAACAAGAGAAGAAGCAAAGAAGACTTCAATTCAATTGCTGCCTTCAAGTGCCCACTCCTCGGTGATCGTTTCATGGGTCGGGGACCTAGAGTTGTGCTTCACCAAACGTCGGGTTCACAAGACATAAAAATAAACACAAACTTACTGTAGGACCCCCTGTACAGGGTTGGCCTGCTGACGGTTCACAGCAGAACCCGTCAACCGGTTCTTCCTGGGGAAACATAAGCACGTCATTCTGATGAGAAATCCAATGGCTGAAGGACTGGCAAAGAACCCTTCCCGTGCGTCGCGACCTGTGGTGAACAGAATCACAGCAATACACGTGCATCTCTCGCCCTCGATATGCGGGAGGTACATATGTAGGACACGGTGGGGTTGGAGTAAAACGTGCACCTGAGAGAAGGGAACTCAGCTTGCCCCGTCGCCTGCTTGTCGTCGAAATGAACACACAAAAAAAGGCAAAAATTATTGCCGCCTTTTAACAAGCACCCTCATGCTGCAAGCTGCACCGCTGAATAGTGCTCGAATCAATTTACAAGATCTGCGGCGCAACGTTGACTAGAGAGTGAAGCAGGCACCTAAACTACGAAAATGAGAGGAGTATCCGACCAACAAAAATACATCGTGCCCAAAGGCATGAAGCGCGTCGGTGACGCTGATCTCTCTGGTGCCTGCCCGCCGCACTCCGATGCGACTCAGGATCTCTTCTGCTGTAGCGCTCGAGGGGAGCAACACCACAAAACATGCTACATGTAGCGCTCTACGAGTAACCAAAAAACAGGCCGGGGCAAAACAACCGCCGCATCTACATTGACAGAAAGCCCCTTTCGCCTGGTACAAAACAAGGACAGCACGTTACATACTTCATACACAGAGAGATACACCAGGATGGAGAGCGAGGCAAGTAGCAACGGGGAGAAGAACGGGGCCCCGGCATCGCCCACACCAAGGCCGACCCTCTAAGCCCCCACCCCGCCCGCGCCCACAACTTCCCCGACCGCCCCGCCGCCACCGCTGCTGCCATCGAGCTGAGAAATCAACAATTGCCGGATACCAGCGGCAACCGTCACGTGGACCGCGCGGACCGAAATGCGGAACGTTCCGGAGGCCGGCTCGACCTCCAGCCGCAGCATCGCCCCGAGAGATATCTTGTGCCCCTGCGGGTTGAGCGAGCCGGTTCGGAGAGTGCCGGCCGCTCGTACGGAGGTCCCGCTGTCGTTGCTGTTGGAGATAGAGTCCTGTTCCTCGGTGATCCCTTCAACGAAAACGTTCCACCAAAAACCGTCGGGGTGTGCGAAGGAGAGAGGGGGTATGATGCGAGATAGCTTCGATTCCAAGGAGAGGTAAGGCAGGGGTGTTGTGGTGAAAATGCCTGCAGAGGACGGGATGGTCCGTTCCCAAGCACCTCCGAAAGTGGTTTTTCCCTCCCTCGGTGAAAGGTGAACTTGGGCATGACGTCAACTTGAGGAACGATGGCAGCTGTGCTTCTCCTTATCCCCCATCCCCCCACCAGAGCACATTCCTTCCAGTTCGCCCAGCGCCCCTAGGAAACACGACAACCCATGCTTCCCTCCCATCAATAAAAAGGGCATACAACGGTGATACTCAAAACAACAACGCATTAGATGTCTCGATAACTTCCTACAGTATAGACCGAATTCCCTCACACGCTTGCAAAAACAAACAAACCCATTCACCCGCATCCATGCTCACCCATCTTTACCGCCGACGTGACCATGCCGCGAACCTCGGCCCACCGTGCGGCCGTTACCGGTGCTCCCGCCCAGACCTCCCCGTTCTCCTCCTTCGAAGCGTTCCCTAGCATCTCCCATCGCCGCGCGAAGTCATCCGCTTCCAGCTGTAGTAGATTTCGTAGATTGCGTAACGGTTGAACACGACGCGGGGGGGGTGGTGCGTTTCGAATGCTGAGTCGTGTAATCTCAATATAGTCATGTGAACACTAAATACCTGCAGCCCTTCACATGGAAGGACCTACCCTGTCAAATGAGCTTGACAGCCGTCTGACGGCAGTCGCGGCAGGAAGAACACCCGAGCCCGGACAACGCGCCATGAAAAAACCCAGGGGCGTCCAAACTCTCAGTTTTACGAGAACGGGTGTGCCGGCGAAAAAACAACGCTCGCATATCTGTCGACATAACTCTGTCACACAACAGCAGTGGCTGAATGTCCCCTAGTTTGTGGGTCCGAATCTCTCATGAGGGAAGAAAACAACAGTCTACGAGTGAAAACGTAGCACAGTCGTGAGCACGCACACAAAGCACTAGGAGGGAAACGACAGCTGAACCTTTCTCGCGCAACCGATAGATGGGCAAGCACGGCAAGGGGGGCTGACAACTCCTTCTGCGTGATGCTGCTAGCGCGTCAAACGTTTACCTCACACATTTAGACTGGCGACCAGAACAGATCGAGACGAACAACAAAAAACAAAAATCAGTAAGCACAGACCACACCTTCGAGCTATGTAAGAGTGCCAGACGTCGGCATCGCCTACAACGGATGAACGCCACTAGCCTTTTTGTAAAAAGTGCCAAAATCAGCAAGTAGAAAAACTTCGTTAACGGACATCACATCGCGGCTATGCGGCCTCTTCCCCGTATCAACTCTACCAGAGGGAGCCTACGGCTTGGAAGTCAAGCACATACACGGTCGGGGTACCCACCTGAAGCGGCTCGATGAAGCTGCACATCGACAGGGGAAGAGTGAGTTCGAAGGAGTGAGGCCTGCCCTCCAACAGGAACGAAACCGACAAAGCCGGGGCTTCCGGGAATGGCTGAGGTTGGTAGCCGCAGTTGGCGGCGGCGGCGGCGTCGTCGCCGCCATTGTCGTGAACGTGTAACGTGAGCATCACAAGAAAAGGGGAGGGAGACAAGACGCGTATCATGGAATGAATAAGTCGCCCCAGCACATTCCTCACGCACAAGCCGCAGAGATACACCGGCCTGAGCAGATCTTAAAGACAGCAGTAGCAGCAGCAGAAACAGGAACAGCAGCAACGACGCCCACCTGTAGACACTCGCACATCAAGACCTGCTGTGCCCTACCGCCCACGTCGAGCCCAGGAGGGCCTTGCCCGATTTGAGATCGGAGATACGGCACCTACACAGCAAGACGAAAGAGACAAGTTTAGACACGGAAAGGACGGGGGGGTATCGCCTGTTGAGCTTCTGCAGTACGCTGAGGAGCCCAGGTTTCAGCCTCGATAAACATTGAAAAGCTAACAACACAAAACCATGGCCTGACACATGTGATGGACGGCGTCCGCAAACCAAAAAACGACGTTTTGGGAGCAAGGGATACCTGTTGATTTACGTGGCATCAGTGCCTGATACTCTTGTTTGAGGAGTATGCAGAGAATATACGACACACACACCAACAGCACAGCAACAGCCAGCTACAATTTCCGCGTACCGAGGGAACGCCTAGCCGCAAGTCCGTCAAAGGCGCGGCCGCCAGGTTGTAGAGGTAGAGCGTCAACCGCCCCTGGGATGACCGGTACTCGTGGACAACTCCGATCTGACAAAAAAAACGCGATGAGAGGGAAAACACCAACAGAGGCGTGGTTGGAAAGAGAAAACAAACACGTTGGGGCATACAGAGACAAGCACGGGGCTAAACGAGTAATCTGATACGTACATGCACGTTGTTCCCGATACTTCCAGGTTTGAGACAAAGAAGCCCTAATCGAGAGCAGTCCGCAGACAACTTCGAGGGGGAGAGCGAAGAACACCCAGCACTCCGGATGTACCCACTATAATAGTGCAAAGAATCAACGTTTTGCCAGCTCCTGAGGCTGACCAAACCACTAGAGGCCTTCCATGTGCCCATGCCGTTCCTTGCCTCTGCGTTTCACTCTCTTTCGCACGCCAGCACTCCCTGCTTCGACACACAACCTTTTCGACACACAACCTTGACAGAGTGGTCCGCCTCAGCTCCTTCTCATTCACCTTAATCGGACCGCCCTCGAACAGTATTCCCTTATCGCTGACCATCAGCGACCTCAGCCAAGCCGACACTTGCGCCTGCATCTCGGGCGGGACTCCCACCACTCCTTGTCCCCCCAGCCCCCCCCCTCCTCCACCCTCCAAGATGCCCCCCCCGCCGTACCCGTCTGCTGGAGGGGCTCCCATCCTCGCTCCGTTGGTATTGCTGCTGGTGTTGATCCCTTCCACGCCGCCACCGTTGCTACCGTACGGAGCTCCAGTGCCGGGGTCCGGCGAACCGTAGCTCCCCATGGCAAGCTGCTGCTGCTGCTGCTGCTGCTGCTGCTGCTGCGGTTGTGGCTGCTGCTGCGGTTGTGGCTGCTGCTGCTGCTGCTGCTGGGCTAGCATGTCGCCGTAGACGGCTGGAAAAAATTCAGCAGACGGGAGGGGGAGGCGTTGGTTGGTTCGCTGGGGGAGGCGATTAATGTATTTGTCGGGATGGTTGAAAAGAAAAGAAAAATTAGGCTCACTGAGGCACGCGACGTTGGGCACAGTTACCCTGCGTAAACGATTTGGTTGGTATCCGAATGATGCCATTGGATGTTGTCGCACCTGTCCCGGTACCGCCGCCGCCGCTGCCCTCTCCCTGGTTATCCAACAAGAGCCCGCCCCCTCCACCTCCCCCTGCGGATCCCCCCGCACCCGCGTAAGAAACCAGCTCGCCCCCGGAAGGAACCACCGCCGAGCCGTAACCGGGATTTCCAGCACCCTGCCCGGCGTTGTTGTAACCGCCGTCGTTACCGTAGGGCCCGCTGTCCTCGACGGGCACCAGCGCACCATCGTTTCCCCTGTTGTTGTTGATGATGTCGTTGTTGTTGTTGACCGCGTCCTCGGGGGCCATCAGGAGATTTGTCGCAGGTGCCGCTGCGGGCGGGGCGGGCGTGTTCACGCCACCGTAGTAGGCATCCAGCGCTGGTTTTGGTTCAGATTCCGACCGATTTCGGCAGGCGCAAAAATATCGTAGGACAAGTGGGGTGAAATGGGGAGAGGTCAGAGCAGTTTTTTGGCCTGGTAAAAACAATACTACAAGTACAGACTACGGCATCATCATGGAGTTGGGGCATCGGTGTGTGAGATGGCCGTGTCGTGTCAAGGCAGCCGACACTCCAAAAAAAAACCTTCCTTCTCATAAAACCGCCCGGACGCATCTCTGATGGCCGGTTGGAGAGCAGCGCGGCCGTTGGCAATGCGACGAACGCATCGAACCGCCGCAAACATCTTGGGCCCCGGAAGTAAACAACACAAAGACTCATCATCTCTCGCACGGGCCGTGTAACTCAGCAAATGCGAAATCGGGAAGGGGGTTCCGCAGACCTGCTGTTGGTGAGGGAGCGACAGCGCCGCCGTAGCCGTAACCCCCGCCGGGGTCTTGCTGCTGCTGTTGTTGGGGAGCCGCTTGTCCGTGGTCTTCCTCCCCACCGATGCCCAGCAAGTCGTCAACCTCCACCTAAAAAACAAAGCCGTATGACAAGCGCAAGAAGCAGCAGCAGCAGCATCAGCCCTGGCTTTTGCTCTCTCGCGCAGTGTGCTCAGCGTATCGTTGGTGCTTCGGCTGTGCCGAGAGGAAAGGGGGGATGGATAGAGGCACCTGGAGACAGACAGCTCTACGACCGAAAAAACTCACATCATCTGTATGCTACACCAAGACATCAAAACGACCGAAAAACCACATCGGCCTCGCCAACAGGCTTTCCTCCGAGTACAGCAGCAGCGACTGCGCCTGGTCGCTTTACATGCACAACACCAATGCTTTTTCAGTCCACAGCCCCCACTTCAATTTTCGCGTCGCGCCCATACGCACCCAAACCAGCTAGCCACACCCAACCCCCCCCCTCAACACTTTCGTCTACACAAACAACACAACGACCCCCACGAGAGACCAAACAACCCCAGAGCACCAAACAGCCGCCACACGCCAACCAACCCCAACATAGTACACCCCGAACCCCACCCTTGGACCAACCAATATTCCAGTGAGTGTGGCCCCGACGACGACAAGCAGCGACCCCAACAACCTCACCCCCCTCGCCGGCGCACGCACCTCCTCCCGCACCACCAGCTGGCCCTCTCCCGCCGCGTCCGCCGCGTCCCCCCGACTTCTAGAGGAACTCCTGCCGCCGCCGCCGCCTCCTCCGCCCTTCTCGTGCTCCTCGCCGTCGTGGTGGCCGTTACCATCGTCGTCGTCGTCGTCGTCGTCGTTGTCGTTGTCGACGCCTCCGCCGCCGGAAACCCGGAGGCCCTCCTCCGCCCCGAGCTCCTGCTCTTCCAGCCTTGACGACACGAGAGCATCGACCAAACCGGTTTTTGGCGATGGTGTTTAAAGAGTGGACGGAGAAAGATGAGGAGGGGTCTGTGCACAAAAAAATAACATACTAAAATAGAGCCCAAACACGAACGGTTGTTGTCTCATTCACAATAAAAACGACAGTGCCGGGCGACTTTCGCCAGTGAACGTATATATACAACAGAAGCTCTAGTCGGGATGCTGACAGACGGTGTGCGCGAGCTAGCTTTCGCCGCACTCTACGTGGTTGCTATTTCGAGAAAGCCGAAGAAACAACTGCCTAAATTTCTCTTACAAGGTGTAAGGACGTTGTAGATTTCTTGACCTTCTGTTCATGTCTTCTGTGGGTCCATCAACAGCTACATATGTACATAGGGGCCAGCATGGAGCCCGGTTCAAGCTTCTAATGTTTCGAAAACCTCGAACTCCTCATGTTCCTGACCGCCCGTGTTCCAAAGTGCGGGCGCTTGCAGCAGTACCGACTACCGTAGCGTACCTGCGGCGGAGTCGGGCTTCGGGCCCACTCTCTCTGTCCTCCGGGAAAGATGGCATCTCTTTCAACACCTGCACCATCGTTAGCGTCGCCCCAACAGAACCAGATCAGATTTACCCGTGCACGACGGCGGGGAGTCACGTCAGGGCACGGGTCGGAGGTTCGAGGCATACGGTTGGGAAAGCTGGGACAACATCCCGCCACCACACTCGACCCACCCAATCGGATCCGCGATGTAGGGCGATACAACACGTAGAAAAGCCTGCCGCCGGTTGCCAAGGTCATCGCCGTCGGTCTTGGGCACGCTTGACCAAATAAACGGCAGCCGCTCCCTAACAATTTACCACAGACTAAATAGTACAATCGTGGAAGAGAAGAGACCCAACAGTGTGACGTCGGCGAAACGGTGTCGACAAGTTGGATATCGTTCGAATTGTCAAGCTCCCCGCTGAACGAGCACAGAAATCGGTATAGCCAGCGGGGGCAGCACCCATTGCTACTGCGGCGTCATCACGAAGGCATCAACAGCAACACCAACGAAGACGCCATTTCCATCTCCAGAACACTAACAGGGCATACGCACCTCCTCCATCACGTCGATGCCCATTTCCGGCAGGCCCAGGTACTCGCAAGATCTCTGCTGCAGCTCCAGGTTTTGGCTCGAGCTGAACCGTTCGAACACCTGCACAGACGGACAACACGATGAGCAGAGCACGCGGGGGCGGGGGGTATCCGCTTGTTTCTGTTTTCCTCCGCACTGCACACCACTGTGTGTGTACGGCCGGGTGCCCTCTCGAGTGCGGATGTGCGCCAAGGCGCTTCCACAAGCACAAATTCGGGCACCCGCGCTATTCACTTTGCCCAACCATCGTGATTATTCCATCTGTGCCCGCCAATATCACCCGCACCACACCAGGCACGTGCATAACAGAGGGCACCCGACCGCAGTGGCATCCCCGAACAAGGGTGCAATTGATAGGCCAGCAAGCTTGGGGCATGCGTGCGCTACTTAAGCCGGGAGAAAGACACGTCCCCGTGTCGCCAGATAGCGTACACTCCAAGCAGTCCAAGCAAAAAATAAAAAACAACGAGCGGAAACGGTAGACTTATAGATACAGCACTCAGATAGGTTACACTCAAAGCAACCCAGGAAAAAAAAAAAACGTGCCAAAACCGTAGATTGATTGGTCAACACCACCCGCTCCACTAAGCGTGAAAAACTATCATCGTACGTACGTACAAAGAAGGTACGCACCGGTGTAACGAGCTCTCTGCACTCCGGGTACAGGTTGGCGAGCTTGGCGTAGGTGCTCAGGAGCAGGGCCTTGGCCGCCGGCCCGACCTCCATGAAGTGCTGGTGGAGCACGTGGAACTGGTCTTGACCCGACATCTTGTCCTGCAGGTGGAAAAACAACAAGCAAAGCACAACACTTCCTCATTCATCATGGACTCTTACTCAGTGGACGGAGATGAATTGAGTTTGTTTTGGTGAGAAATGTACACAAAAAGGAACGGGCCACGCAGAGAGAATGGAAGGCATCAGAAGGTTGGGGGTTGCGCAACATGCTACTGCCGACGCGGGGGTACGCCGTTTGTCGTCTGCCTCCGGTCACTCACCCGTTCTTGTGCTGACAAGCCGGCCACAGAAGCACAGAGACACATAGTGAATCTCAACACCAGTCTACAAACAATATCCTACCGTAGCAGCGTGTGAGGGTCGTTGGTTCACAACAAAATTATCTACCATATATACGTATGTGGAAGGTTAAGAACGGTGAACTAACCTGTTCTGCGATGAAGTATCCGAATTCTCCGAGGATGTAACCACCGATGTTGACGGCGGTCTCGTGCGCGCGGGGGGACTGGAGCGTTGCGAAAAGCCTCTCCGCTGCGTACGCCTGCCGGCATGGTTGATAGGAGGAGGGAGTAGAAGCGGGGGGGCAAGGTTCAAGTCTGAAAATCGAGTTATCGACGGGAGGGTAGGGGGGGGCGTCGCGCGGGCAGGCTTCATGTGCCGTCTCGGCGGCATACTGCTGTACCACAGCTGAAAACAGCATGTTCAGCAATACTTCGAAATAACATCACCAAGGCGAAAGGAATGCCCCCCCGCTTGCAACAGCCCGTCACATATTCTGTGCGAGAGGGAGAGGTCGCACGGCTGGCTGCAACAAACACCGCTTCGGGGGGACCATTTCGCAAAACCAACAGCCGAACAAAAAAAAACATTGCAAACACATCCTGGACAAATTTCGACAGTGGATAGAGACGATATTTTCTCGATTTCGGAAGAAGAGAAAATATGTTTTCGTAATCCAGTCCAAACCGGGTACAACGTGTCGATAACTACCTGCAGGTCCTTGTGGTTGGTGACGATCTGGATGATGCGGTGCCAGACTGCTCCGGCTACCGAGTCGCCCGCCACGGCGATCATTTCCAGCATCTTGTCCACATACCTGAACACAAAACGACAGAAACAAGGGGTAAGGTCAAAAAAATAAATTCCCCGGAGATGGTTGTTACAGGAAAAAATCGCCACGCCCGTGTCAGATATGAAGTATTTGAGCCATGAGTAAACACAACCATTCCCGTCATAACGGCTCGACGACAGCAAATGAAGCACGCGCGCACACACACACGTTCGCGTCTTCTATCCCGCCACAAAGAAGAGGAACGAAATTTCATTGGTCAGCCGGTTAGCGCGATCGATCCAAACCTAAAATCACACACACGCACACGATTTCATTGGTCAGCCGGTTAGCGTGATCGATCCAAACCCAAAATCACACACACGCACACGCACACCAATTCTACCGTGCGCACACACCAGTTGAGATCGTCGGTGAACTTCTCGGCCAGGATGGCAATCTTGAGCACCATCTCCTCCCGGATCGCCGCCCCCGAAGCCGCCAGGTAGGTGACCAGCTCCTCCACGATCTCCGCGCCGTTGGTCTCGTCCGCCATCACGAACAGCAGGTCAAGCGCCCTCCGGCGAATGCTGATGTCCGCGTCCTTAAAAGGGTGTAGTGCCAAAGTCGAGGGGGGGGGGCGTTACTCGTGTTTTGCATTCGTTAGATGCTAGGCAGTTGACGAGGGGAGGGGCGTGTACTTATGTAAACGCATGCCGTTGTCGTTAGACTATTGGCCTCGCGCCCCTACAACGCCCGGACGCCGAGTTTATGTCGGCCCAGGCTACCTTTCAAAAGGGCAAACCACAAGCTCGTCATCATTGTTGCCTTTGCAGTGGAAAACCGGATATACAATGGGGGGGGGCTTTTCAAGGTTGACATCGGCCTTCAGGGAAACTTAAGGCCAAATACCCTCGCTTCCCGATACAAAGCTGGCCGGCTGAGCACCGGGTGAAGCGTGTGCGACTGCTACTACTACGATTTAGGTTGACTGTTGGAGGTTAGCGATGGCAGCAGGAGTAGCACCGGACATCCCCCCACACCTTGAGGGACATAAGCACCGTGGCCTGGTGCTTCTTAGCGGTCTCGTTTCCCTCCAGCCGGGCCAGTCGTGACATCACTTCCAGCCCTAGGTAGCGGATGTTGGGCTCCTGAAGACGAACCAACCAACAGTAGCAGCGTATTAAGGGGCAGAGCAAGGGTCAGGTGAGACCCAATAAAAAGTGGGGGGCAGCAGCCATGGGTGTTGTCTACAACTTCGACGGGAACGCGAAAATCGCTTTTCTCAAAAAAATCGATCTCGCCAAACAGCAACAAAAAGCCTCAGCAGCACAGCAAAAGCAACAACGGCAAAGCAACAACAAAAACAGTCATCGGCGGTCCCAGCAGCAGCAGCAGCAGCACTTACAACACCCGTGATCCAAATCCGAAAACAAAAACAGGCCATGTGCTCCAACAGGAGACGCGATCATCTCAGCGGTGGCGAAATCGACTGAAGCCCATACCTAACCTCTTGGTCTCCCAAGCTATTCTAGGAAGTGTTCGGTGTTGTGCTCACCTTGACAGCGATAAACCTCCCCAACAGCGTCATCGCCTTCGATCGAAGCTCCTCGTTGCTGTCACGACCCTAGCATAGTATGTAGAATCAGAGCAAGCACGGGGACATAATGGGGGGGGGGGGTTCTTGGTCGCAAGCATGAGCATACCCTTCACCTTCAGCCGAACCACAACACATAAACACACCAAAACGCCTACTGCACAACAAGTTCAGGCACTAAATGTCGAGGCACTAGGCAACGAAAGACAAACATGCCGCACAGGTTTGGCCTGGGGAGTCGTGCCGCGACATGCCATACTGTCACCCGGGCACGCGGGAAACGCTGCCCAAATGCTGGGCTATTACCAATGGGGGTGACGAGTTCATCACATCGCAATTTCAACAGAATTCCACGATGCATATAAAAGCAAAAATAATCAAACCGAACGGTTACGCGCATGTCTGTGCGCAGCAACAAGGAGCTGGTTTGGTTTGGTTTGATACGACCATACATATCACTGCCGCAACGCCACGGGGGAGGGGGAGTAGCGCCGCTAGAGCGGTTTCGTAGGCCAAGAGCCGATGAGGGCCGCAAAGGCAATCCCGGGACATGGAGATTTTCGAGAAGTGTCACATCGAGCTTCAAGGCACGAACAGCACGAAAAAAGAACAACACAACTGCGGCAGCAGCAGTAGCAGCAGCAATAGAACCCACATGATGGATGATAACGTTGACGGCTTCGAACAGGATGCAGTGGTCGGCGTTGCTCTTGTTCACGCTCGCCGAGATCTGCAACCAACAACGACAGCAACAACATCAGCAGGCACACGACACGTCGTGTGGCGCCTCAATCGTCCTCCATTTCTCCGCAAGAACAGCCGCGATTTCCGCATTTGACCGCCGTGACAGTCTAGCGGCCGGGAGCAGAGCTGTTGGAATTATTCCCGATCGATCACACCGCACGAACGCCGCAAGAGGGCGAACATAAAACAGAAAGACGGCCAGGAATGCATGCCACCCGAGTCGCACCAGACGTGGCCATGCCCTGCCCACCCACTTTTGCTGTGCACTATTGGCTGCGCGTGCGTCCATGCGTGCCTTTTATTGCCGGCTCGATCACAAGGCAATAAAATAAGGCGCTCTCCCTCGTGCCCATACCGGCAACAAGCCAAGGCTAAGGGTACGGTATGCCAGCGCGCTCGCTAGCTACCTCGTTGTTTCCGGTCCATCCTCTCAAGGGCCATCTCACACACGGAGAGTGGTTGCGGCAGAACCCGCCAGGGTTAAGTACAAAGTCTCGCAGCAATGCGCACTACCTACCTACCTCGGTCTTTGTGATGATCTTCTCTAGAGCCTCGTCGAGCTTCTCCCTCTGACTCCCGTCCGCCGGTGGCGGGAACATCTGCAGGAACTTTAGCAGCTTCACGTGCATCCAGGGGCTCGGGGTGCCGTAGTACAGGTATTCCGACGCGCATGCCTTGTGGATAACCTTGAACCAAATTAAACAACGAAACGTAAATCAGAAAATGCGGCAGTAGAAACACAGGTTGGTCATGCAGCGTTATGAATGTATTGCTAATTTATCCTGGACATTTTTTTCTGTGGGCAGAGATAGAGATGACTTCGGTCTGTTTCTGCAAGAAAAAAGGCGGGGACAATTTGTGAGGATGGGGTGTAGGCGTCTCTAGCTGGTGACGCCCCCGACTGCTGTTTCGACCTGACTACCGTGAAGACCTTTGATCAACAAAATGCCCCAAACCCAGTGAGGGGACTGGAATAATTCTCGACAGGGGGCAGAGCCGTTCAACCTTCTCTCTCTCTCTCTCTCTCTCTCTCTCTCTCTCTCTCTCTCTCTCTCTCTCTCTCTTATCTCTCTCTCTCTCTCTCTCTCTCTCTCTTTCTCTCCCTCTCTTTCTCTCTTATCTCTCTCTCTCTCTCTTTCTCTCTTTCTCTCCCTCTCTTTCTCTCTTATCTCTCTCTTATCCCTCTCTCTCTCACCAGTCGAGTGAGCAGATGGATCACGTGAGGAACGAGCCCCTCGTAGTTGCCCGGGCTCCTAGACGCCAGTCCTATCAGCAGAGACATGACGCTCGTCACCACGCCGAGGTTCTTGTTCTCCAGCAAACGAGCCTGCAAGAGCAAAGAGGGGTGAAGGGGTTACAAATACCCGTCACGGTTCCGCAGGTCCGGGGTATTGACGGGCATGTGGGGCAGGCAACGGTCTTGTCCTAGCACGCGGCCAAACCCGAAGGAGGGAGCGATACAAGCCACCTCGGGGTAGAAATAGTTGTTACGCAAACGACGGTACGGCGGCGGGGGCACGCGGTCGGTGTGAAGAAATGAGAAGGGCGGGGGCCACACGGTTAGTGTGCCGACACAGGGGGGGGGGGGGGTGTTCTCCACATCATGACTCAGGACACCTGTAGCATCGGATGCAACGGAGACACCAGCACCAAACAACATCGACGACACAGAAACAACTGTAACGACCACCCGTCCTCGACGTCAACATGGCACGAAAGCCGCTAACGTCACCAGTAGGGCTCATACCACCCGACTACCCGTACCCTCTTCGCCATGAAGGACAACGAAAACAACAGCAGTGTCATCACCGTCGCCATGAACAAACGACGCCGCGGCCACCGCCGCCCTCTGCAGGAGCCGAGCTCGCGAGGCACAGCCCGCAACATCAACAACCGAGATCACAGTTGTCGGCAAAACCGACATCATAGCACACAGCAGTCACCATTTTATCCGATAGCTCCGAGTGGACGAGGTTGCCAGGGTTCTCTCTGAAGAATCTTAGGAAGCACAGAGCGGCCTTTTTTCGCACGGCCGGATCCGTCCCCTTCATCACCAACAGCCGCTCCACATCCTGTTCCAAACAAACGATCGACCCACAAATTGTGATGATAAGAACTTCGTGCCCACGTTGTGCGAGTGCGGGGGAGGCTATAGATACGGAGGCAGAGAGGCACAGCCGACGAAACACGGAGTGATGAAGAAACAAGACGCAGAGATACGTGTATCGAGAGAGGAAGAAACCCACAGCTTTGTAACATTGATGAACGTCCATCTCGGCAACGCTGTACAGGCACAAAATGAGCATGCGACTGTAGTCATTCGTCGCGGAACACCGTGGAATACCATGGAATACAATACCGATACGGACGCTGAGCAAGCGGCCGGTGGAGGCCACGAAGATAGCTACAAAGGGTGTGTGGAGACGGCAGCAACGACGGTGATACCACCGCCAACAACCACCACAACGACACAAACTTCGCCGACAAGGATAACAACGACAGCACGTACCATGAGCAACAAACACAACAACTGAAAACAACAACAACAACAACAAAGAACTCACCGGTAAGAGGGCGTCGGACAGATCGTTTCCCCCAAGGTTCGCCACCGTTGCCAGCGCCAGAGTCTGAACGGCAACACCGACACACAAAAAACGGGTCACACACACAAGCGCATCAAGCCCGCCAACACACCGGGAGACTAAGCCCAGCAAGCAGAGGGGCGATTGTACAAGCAACGGGCAACCTCGCGCAGAACCTACCGCAGGCGCCAACAAAACACTATTGGCATGCTAAATAGTGAACAAAAATGCTGGAGCGACACGACGTGGGACACGTGATGGAGCAACTTTCCGGCGTAGAAAGCGCACTTGTTGGCTCCCACGAACGCCACACCAATCGACAGGAAAACAACACACACATACTGCTCTGTACTGCGTGCATTTCCCATGTTTTTCGGCCCGCAAAGCAAACGACTGCGAATAAACCACTATATACCGCAAACACAATCTACATGGTACGCGGCTGCACTCTCGAGCGGCGAAACCGAAGCGGGAAAACAACGCACAGCCAGGTACAAACAAAAAAAAAGGGTCGGCGTAGCTACGAAATGTGTTGTGCCGGTTCAAGGACCGGGCGGCGCAACCAACCGAAAAGTGAAAACTCGCCTGGGCGGGGCTCGAGTGGCTGTTGAGGTCGTTTCGGATTGAGTTGATGACAAGCGACATCATCGTGTCCCCGGACCGAAGGAGTAGGCTGACGGCGACGTAACCCACGTTCTTTTCCGAGTACCTTGAGAACCAAAAAGGCCGGCAGGCACGATGGGCGGCGTAAGTAAGCCGTGCGTGCCGACAATGGCGGCGCGAAGAACAAGAGAGAACCAACTAGCACGCCGCTCTTGTGGGAGGTAACAGGCGAGCGGGCTGGGGAAACTTGTCCCTGATATGTGTGCCATGAGCAAAGACAAGCCATTTGACGCTGCCGAAGGCGCGGCGGTGACTCTTCCCCGCTAGTGTATGGTGCGACGAGCAGAATGTGATAACGATTTTCCATACTCGTGCGGTATGTGAGGAATGCGGAATCCGCACCGACCGACACAGGCACCCCAAATTCGACTGTTGAGCAACAAACACGTAATAGGTGTTTTCCTTTCGGGGTCTTGGAAGTCGACCTACACACAACGTGTGTGTGGGGGGGGGGCTATCTACTGTAAGCTCCGACCAAAAGATAGACACACAGACAGGAAGTCTTCTCTCGGCGCCCCCCTTTTCCAATTAGGGGATTTCATACCACGTTCAAGCGAGAAGGTCCCCTAACAGTAGTTTCAAGTGAACATACTCACTTGGTTGAGCTGATGAGGCTGATCATCTCCATGTGTCCGAAGTCAATCTCGTAGCCGAGCATGAACATGTAGACCAGCTTCCAAACATACCTGAACCGGTCCGAGTGTTTCGGTGATTCGGGGCACACCACCAAGATTTTCGTTGGGGCGGGGAACAAGGATCTCCACTCTTGGAAATGTGTCGCTGTGATCATCACATACATGCTCTGCGAGCGACATCCCCTTTCCTGTAGTCGTAGCCCTGTTATGTTATCTACACCATTAGTAGATATCTTCAATTTTCGTAGATCTCATAGATTGCCGTCACTCGTACGGGATCGCCCTCCTCAACTGGAACGCTCCGATCGGCGTTGGTCACGCACGTCAACCACTCCGCGGTGTGTGCCCACACCTTTTAGCGCGAGAAACGGTTCACCAGCACGTCCCCCCTACTGGAAAAATTGACACAAAACAAAAAGGGCTTGCCTCAAAACAACGGGCACAGGCCTACCCGAGTCTCCCGGCTACGATAATATACGTATTCAAAAACTAAGGTAACCTCCTGCGATATGGCTATATTGAGCCCTTGATGTTCGTCCTGGAAGCTTGGGGAGGCTGTCGTGGTAGGCGGGGGGGGGTAGGGGAGGTCGTTTACGGCCGTACCATTTGCGGTGCCACTTACTTCTTGCGGTTGTAGCTGCTCAGTCCGGAGCTCGAGCTGAACTTGTTTCGGATATTTGCCAGCTCCTTGTCCACGCGTTGCTGCGGTGGGGGGGAGGTGGGGGGGGGTGGGGGGACGACGAACAGGTGGGCAAGGTCAAGGCACAAGGCCAATGTTAGAGACTGAGATGATTCAAGTTAACATGGGGATTGAGATTGAACTGAGAGCGAAATAGAGAGAGAGAGAGAGAGAGAGAGAGAGAGAGAGAGAGAGAGATGTGTAGAGGGAATAGTGAGAAACCAAGACGGAAGGGCTGGGGAAAGACGGGCAGACAGACAGCTTCAGGAAAAGACCGACACATACAGAGAGGGGCAGAAAACGCCCAGGAAAGAGAAGGGTGTGCGGGAATGGTCGTGTTCGGTTTGTTGGTAACAAAAGGCGTCTGGGTTCAGCTTCTTGTCCATATGGACAGCCGAAAAATAACCATCAAAGAAAGGGGCCGAGGCGGGACGAGGGATGCCGTCGGAAAAACAGCAGCTCATGTGGATAAATCTCGAAAATTATGCTACCGGTGATGCTGTTGGTGGTTGCGGACTCTGGACGCAGCCACCGAAACTCAGCACAAATTTACAATTGTCCTTCTAGAATCATGTTCCCCGTGCGATGTCGAGCAAACCGGTTTCGGTACGCATGGGTGAGGTAGGCGAGCGAGATGAACACACCACCAAGCGTACCATGTTTTCCCATCGTGGCGCGGGCGGTATCCCAAGAAGGAACACCGCTTACAGCAGTTACAATTGCGTAGCTTGATACGCGTGTACTGCTGTGAGTTGCACGGGATACCACTCCCCGTGGACCGTTATTCTTCCATCTCTTAACGTCGAAGAGGATTCCACAATCAAGCGATTCGTTTTCGGAAAGCCCTCTCTCGACCGGACGGTTTCAACGTCGCCTTTTTCGGCGACGTCGCTGCTACAATACTTACCGTAGGGGCCCTTGACCGAATTCCAAAACTCGAGTACTCCACGACGAAGAGGATACATACATGAAACGGTGCGTTTTCGGAAAGCTCTCGACGAAACCGCTCCAAAACCTCCGTTTTCGGCGCTGCAACTATTAAATACGTGTATTTCTACTGTGGAGAAATCGAGCTTTGGAAGCCCGTCCATGGGGTGTGATATCTTCTGTCACCTACGGAAATCCAGCTGTGAAAAATTGGTCCAAGGTATGTGGTGCTGCTGTATCATACGCAAAACCTAACTGTTTAAGTCCGTTTGCTCTGCAGACGGGAAGATACAGCAGTAACATCTTCGTTTTCCAGCAAGAAGAACTAACAAGCCGAATCTGCACAGCTGTCCCGCAGCGACCATGCCCCTCGGATCTCAAACGCTCGGTTTCTTCACGCAAGACATGGAGGGAGAAACACGAACGACGCACGGTTTTTGTGGCGCGTGTTGACAAATATCTCGTCGTGTGTGTCCTGCACACCGCCGGGCAGCGGAGATACGGAATAGACCAAATATTTACTCGAGAGAGCTTGGCTACATGCCCCTCCATGGAACCAGTCGCACGACGGTGGAACTGTTGGTGCTGCTGTTGCCTGCCTTCATTGCCAGCTGTAGTTCGTATGATAGGAGACAGGACGCATCGGCGAGTTGCCGCCCGCGCAGAAGCGCGCTATACTGCCGGTGCCTACAACTCCACCATTCTACAATCCATACACAAATGAAAAGTCTACGTGCACGTATGGTGCTGCTGACCCTGTACTTCGGCTACATACGAATCCAAATTCGGAAAGAATAACGGAGGAACGCGTCGGCCCTGATAACATCTTGATACTGTATGCATACAGCCGACATTCTCTTTTCTCCCTATCTTGAATTCGATAAAACACCAAGCAAGGAAAGAAAATTTGAGAGATGCCGAATACGAAAGCGAACCCGTCCCCCCCCGCGCCGGCGCCTGCGCCAGCCGCCGCGCCTGCGCCAGCCGCCGCACCAGCGCCGTCGGCCACGGCGCCCAGCGCGAGGGGGTCGGGCCGGCCCCCAACGTTGCCTGTTGCTCCAGGCGCCGTGGCCG